TTTTTTTTTTTTTTTTAATAGTTAAATAATAGTGATTTTAGTCATTGGTCTATTTTTACTTTAAGGACTTCTTTAAGTTTTACCTTTGTTGTGAAGGAGAGCCTTTGGAGGCTACACTGTAACTCAAATCTATCTCCCGTGTTTGAAAAAATTAAGATTATTCTTACCATGGTTACATGCTTACTTTGCAGGCACAATGCATATCTTTTTTTTTTTCCCCAAAACGACAGAGACAGTGCATAATTATTCATGACACAAATTCTTGAATGAGGTGGTCCATTAATCGTTTCGACCCATCATCCTTTTCTAACAAAAAACGCATAATTATATAATAATATGTCATAATTGTGTTTATATTATTTTGTGTAGTATGGTATCTCAATTTGAAAGTATACTACTAACTTTGTATAACATCAGCCTTACTGATTTTGGTAATATTGCTTCATTTAGCATTTTGATATTCATCTACTCATAATGGAGCAAAATAACTTACAAAAAAAAAGGCAACTAGGAAGTTATATACAAAATACATTATAGGTAAATGAGACAGCATAATTTCTTGAAAAATATAAGCTAATTTACAAACTAAATAAGATGGGCAAAATCATTAAGAAAAAAAAAATATATATATATATATCTCCTACTCATTATTAGACTTGGGATGCATAAAAGTTGGACAATCATGGTAAGAACATCAACAGGCTGAATCCACAAGAAGGCAACAATCACTCAATATCAGTACTGGTGCTATTAGAGACAAGATGAATTCCCACTATTTGAGCTCTCAAGCAGCAGGATCCTCAAGGGCTGCAGTCGTAAATTGGATTCGAGGATAAGTGACTTTCTCATCCAGCTGGTTTTGCACCCATATCAACATTTTCAACAAGCTTAGAAGCTTTGAATCTGTTTCAACATCGAAATAAGAACACCGCAGTCTCGGTTATTTTTACGAAGTGGTAACAATTTAAACGCAACATGTATTCCAATCGAACCCACATTTTCATCGATTGTTATATAGTTAACAACATGAATATAGAAGCTTTTGACAATGGAAAAGGACAAAATGCCAAATCTCGATTTGCTCCTAACAATGGACACGTCTGGTTAGCATATGTTCTCTACCAAATATTCATAATTAACAGTTGAAAGTTGAAACAAAAGCTAACGTGAAAACAAAAGACCAAATCAACATCAAAGCAGGGCTTCAGGGGCATAGCAAGCAGCTCATTATAGGAATTAGGAGCCAAACTTTTAAAAAACTCTTGTCATATTCATTATGTGTATAATTTCATTTTTCAAATAAGAAAATTCTACGGCTCCATATCAGAGTCGTGAATGCAAGACATCATTCTATTGTGTTGTAAGCTTGAGCTCAAACATAAGGATTGCTGATCAATTGACGAAATGTCTAGCAGCATGACTGAATACTATTTGCACATCAAGTGATGAAGAAAGCTCCACGACAAAAAATCAAAATAAACACCACGGACTCATAGCAAATATAAAGCGGTTTTGATATTCAAGGATATCATCTTGAGCGTAGACATAAAAAAATTTAAATTATGAAATACCAAGAAATCTATTATTATATCATCAACGAGTCAGATGGAGAGACATGCAGAAGCAGCAATATACAGTATCTCCTCGAGAAAAATCGACCGCTGAATTCAGATTTCATCTATTAAAACAGGTAATTTTGGAATATAAAGGACAGTTTCAGTGCCATGCTTCTCATTAAAGATCCCTTAGTATATATTTTTTCTATGAGCAAATTTTGAGAATAGATTCGAGCAAGTACTACAATTCACATCTGTATGAGGTTATATATTTTTCTTGGAATCAAATCCACATAATTACCGCAAGGACTAACCTTTTTCATGGCTTTGACTGATGAGTATGGCTGCATTCACCTCTCTAGCAGTCTTAAGGCGTTGAGATATATCAAGGAGCTCGGCAACAGGGCAATTGGCCATGTCTTCAAAAGCAAGCAACGCAATAGTCCTTTCCAACTCTTCTAGAAAGCCTTGCTGAATTTATGGAAAGAACTAAAATAAGTCCTTATACATGCTGTGGGATGATAAATTTTAATTATAATAGAAAAACGTACCCCTGATATCCGACCTAATTAGAATAATATTCTTTCAGGATTAAAAATGCGCCAGTAACAAGAAAAATGATAGTAGGAATAATGTGAAATATTGAAAGATAATTAGTAGTTTTCTGTAATGGGCTTAACCTCAGGGGTAGTATTTGTAAATCTAGTTTATCTCTAGATAATGTGTTATAAATTCCAAAATGGAAGCTTATAATGATGCGGCAAAAGGTTCAGAAGTGATTATTGTGAGCATGCAAAAGAAGTGATGGAGCAAATTAGCTACATCAGCACATTATAAGATTTGAATTAACATTGACAAGTGAATTTGAAGAATGTTACATTTTCCTCTCCCCTTGGAGCAAGTTCCTCTTGAGCAAACTCGAGGGCTTCTTCTACCTTCCCATTTCGGATCAATTCTATTAGACGCTGCTGTTGGAGATGGAAATAGAGTTGAGGGTTCGTGTCCAATATCTGCACTCGACATACTCAGAATTTAATAGGGAACCAAGTGAATATTAAGTGCTAACAAAAAGACTATTCCAGTTAGTTCTAGATCAAAGTTTAACCCATTTGTCCTTATGCAACCACCAAAGTGAGGAAGAAATGACTTGTACCTCAGGGTTTAAATCATTAACTTTCACAATAGCATCCTCCACATTACCACTCTGTACTGCTTTCTTGACGGCAATGCGATCAGTGATTGTGGCAAGATCTATATATGCTATTTTCTAATAAGGAAGTTTCAATGAATGCTTAAGCTTAAAAATAAGTGTGTTCCAAAAACAAACACATTAATAAAACACAACAATTAAAGATTCAAAATAGAATACGCTCCGTCCCAGATTCGAGTCGAAATTTTTCAGCAGCCTCCATATAACCCTCTGTAACCAGAAAATTCATAACCAGTTTGTTCATATCTTCCTTTCTAACTTTAACATCATCAAGCTTCTTCTCCCAATCAGCCCTAGGTATAACTTTCTTTGACGTGACCTGTAAAATCAAATCACGCGTACGAATAAATAAAATGATGCCAGAAAGCAGTAAGCAAGCACGGCAGGTAATAATAAAAATAATGAAAGAAATAGGCCAGCATTGTCAATGGTACAACTACAATCACGCTATAAACCCATATAACACATTAATCAAATTACACAAATTGCAGTGAAAGAAAAAATCATATCAACAACCTCAACTTTCTGCAAAAGAAAACTTGTTCCTGACCGGAGAGAATCCGAAAATTAAATTGACAAATACAACACCAACAAAAATCTCAGTCCACACACGCATAGATTGTGGACTGCAAGCTCATAAGCTCGTCAATCGCCACGAACCCATCAAACAATATACACTCGAATAGATAAACTCATTTAACACATCATCAAATGAAGCAAATTGTAGTGCAGATAATCATATCAACAACCTCAAATTTCCATACAACTTTTGTTACCAACTGGTGAGAATATCAGAATATGAGGAGAATAAACGCAACATAACAGCAACAAAAATCTCAGTCCATACACACATCGATCGTGAACTTCGAGCTAATAAGCTCATCAATTGCCACTAACCCATTAATCAATATACACCCAAAATGATAAAAACGAGCAACTACATAAATGTGCGATGAATTAAACACATATAATACACTCAGAAAATGTGCGGCGGAGGTAGAAGCGTTTACCATGGCTGAGGCTGAAGCTGGTCGGCGATTTTCAGTGCAGAAAATCGGTATCCGCCGCGCGCCACCGGCTCAAACAGAATAGGAATCGAATTTTAACTATGATTAGCTAAAAGATACCTTTTTTTAACCTGCGTTAATCTGCTTGATTTAGTTACCGAGAGAAAAAGGGCAAAAAAGAGTTAAAGATGAAAAGAATTTGAGTAGTTATGATGAAGTAGTGACTCTTTTTTTTAGCTTGGGGGTTAAGATTTATCATTATTATTATTATTATTATTATTATTATTATGTACCTCAAACTTTAATATTTCAAGTGTACCTTTTAATAAACTTTAAGAAGTGCCTCTTATATTACCTTATCATCTTTATTGTGGTATTAATGTGACATTCTTTTAGACCATCTCTAGTTTTATCTCTACTCTATAATAAGGCGAAATAAAAATCAAAATTTAGTCTCCAACTGTCGCGCTACATTCACTCTACATATATCATTTATATTATTTTAATTTATTTAACATGTCAAAATATTATTTAATTGAACATATTATTTTATAAAATAAATATGTTCATGGTGTTAGTTGGTCTACTACAAGTTTGAAATATTGTTCGACAAATAATTATTATTATTTTATATTATGTGGTTCTTTTGCAGTAATTCAATATATACATGTACATTTATTAAAAATAATATTCATATAATTGTAAAATAAAATTATAAAATTAATGGTACAAATTTTGTCAAGTAATATATTTAAGATGAATCAAAATTCATATAATATAAAAATAATAAAAAATGAATAAAAGTTGTAGAGTAATGAATAGTACGACGTCATGTGTAGCGCGATATTGTTCATAAGTCGAGAGTGGTGCAGAGATGTAGAGCAGCGTTGGACGACATTTTTTGTCAAAACTCGCTAGAGTAGCGCAACAGTGAAGTTGCTCTTACATAACGTACATGAGAACATGCTAATCTCGAGTGGCAATTTCTCACGTTTCGTAATCTTATTTTATAATATATGACGCTTTGTAATATGGCTCGGATAAAAGTTATTACTTTTTTATATCAAATAACTTAGGCTTGAATTTCAATATTTAATATATTTTAATATTCCATATAAATCTATTGATTCTTTTCTTTTTATAATGTACACTTTTAAAATTTTTGCGTCGTTCACATTATTACCTTATGTGGCTTTATAAATAAAACTAATGATTTTGTAGATATATTAGTTTTAAGAATTAAAATAATAGTGTAACTTTTTTTATATTTCTTTATTATGAATCAGTATATTGTTATGTTTTCCAACTTCAATACAATATACGAATATTTTTTTATTTTATTGTCTTACATTTAACTATTTATTAAACACTCATGTAGTACACGACAATCGTACTAGTCATGTATTATGGTATTTATGAGGAAAAAATATATTAGAAAAAGAATCAAAAGAATACAAAGATAAAACATAATTTAAAAATATTTATTAAAGATTATATTATTATTTTTTAGTCAATATGACACCCACTATCTATATAATACATATCATGCAATATAATATATAAGTCATTTCATATAATAAGCTTAATGGATACATTTTATTTTATTAACAAAGTAACACATTTACTATTTTTTACTATTTTGTGATTAATATTTATAGATAGTTGATGTGTATATATATATATATATATAAAGGTAGATATTGTTATTTTTCCTTAATTAGTTTAATTATGTGGCAATTGAGTGGATAGAGATTGATAGCCATTGGTTTATAGATGAAGGTGACCAAAATAAGTAAGGCTTGACTATTATGATGTCAATAATGAAGTGAATGGCAAAAAGAATTAACTTTTGTGGACAACCTAAGTTATGTAGGTCATTATTTCACTTCCCTTTGTATCCCCTCACTATTTGCATTGGAAGTGAAGTAAGGGGTTGTAATTTATATTTTTCATCATCCTCTCCCAAATTTGTCACAATATGCTAAAATATACTATGGATCTAATTACAAAATTATAGTATTAACCTAATATTTACCTTACTTATAGAAGCTTGTTTTTTCACGAACATTTTTCTTTAATGTTTAGTGATATGTGTTTTTTTTTTTTATATGTTAATATTTTAGGAAGATGTTACAGTCTCGTTGCAGAATCATTCCGCTGAGGTTTGCAACCGCTAGAAATAATTATCCTCGATGATTACATGATTATCTAACGATTACAAACTCGACATAATAGTTGCGTAACAGACCGTAGCATTTCCGAATGTTTTATGTTGACACCTACTTGAAATTAATCAAGTGTTAATGACTAGTGATGTCCCGTTAGCCACACCTAAATGTGCTAAGTTAGTTTGTAGCTCTCTTTATTTAGATTCATCATACAATTTGACTTAAAAATTGATTAAAAAAACTATGGTCAACAACCAAATCATTTAAGTAATAATCATTTCTATCACTTATTATTAATCACGTGAATGCTTTTAGGATATGGAAAAATTCATTGACACTAACAAATCCATCTGAATCAAAACAATTTGCTAAACTAACAAGTGTAATATAGAAAGATTTGGAAATAGTTTCGATTTTTTTTGACTTTTTAAATTATGATTTTGATATAAAAAAACATTTTCGAGATTAAATTATCACGTGGGGGCGCCGAGATAGAATTAATCGGCCAGTAGCGGATTTACAAGTGGGGCCCACAGCCACATGTTTGCCAGCTCACGCAAATCCGATCCCAATCCTTAAAAGGAAACACATGATATTGCGGTACAAGTTTAATTATCTTGTCCCATCCTCCGAAATAAACCAACCCCAAATTGATCAAACATTTGACATCATTTTGACTTTCGTTCCCAAACATAATTCCTATGTCTTCACTAAATTCTACATGTAATGTTTCTGTTAGATACCAAAAACTATCGTATTTTTCCATCAAATGAAAATACTTTAATAGTAAATTGTCATATTCGTTTTTAAATAAATACAAATAAATTTATGAATTTTCGTAATATAAATTATATGTAGTTTTATGAAGAACGAACTATGATTGCTTCAAACATTTGTGATCTATATAATACATATGACTTAGCTTAACATCTAAGTAACCGTATTGTGCTTTTATTTATTAAAAAAAAAAAATGATTCTAAATCAAATATGCTACAACTTTTAACACATCACAATAAAATCAGGCAGATACATCCAATTTGCAAATATGGTAAGAAGTATCAACTAATATTTCAAATTAGCATTCACAAACTCCCACTCCTAAATTTCAAATTCATAATTTAAAACACACACACACACACACATACCAAGTGTTTGAATTCACTGCCACCTGCAAAAAAGGTGGCTGAATAGAAAAAAAAAGTAGGATTGCTTGATTAAAAAATATTGATATTTGATTGATTTTTTTAGTTAATCATATTTAATTTTTTAAAAAATGGGTATGATTAGTTGTTAATAAGCCTGTAAATAAGTTTAGTTGAGCTCGATCTCGACTCGTTTATTACTATTAACGAGTCGAGTTCGAGTCTTAATGAGCTAATCTCGAATTTTAACGAGTCGAACTATAGAACATTATATGAAAATCATCTTTTCGAGCTTTAACAAGCCGAACTCCGAATAAATTTTAAATGAGCTAAAGCTCGACTCATTAAGAGTTTGAGTTTGAGCCAAACTCAAGGTAGACTTGTGCAATTTAACAACACAAAATTTTAAGTTTCTATTAAAAAATAAATAAAATAACATGATTAAAATTGATTTGAGTAAAAAGTCGAAGATATAGATGATTGAAAACTGTTAGAATATCACTTGTGAGTTGTCCCACATCGTTCATACATGGAAAATAGACCCACCTTATAAGTCTAATGGGTTACTCCTCCTTCCACCAATTGGTTTTGGGATGGAACCCCACTTGGGCTTCATATGAGCTTTTTCCCCAAGATACCAATCAAATTAAGGTAAGAATAAGTTAAATTTTAAGTTGAGATTTTTTTTTTTTTTATTTTTTTTTGAGAAGTATATCTATAAACAAACACCTTCACTAACTAAATTGCGTTCATAGACGGCTTTATATACGTGCTGTCGTGCTCTGTAAAGTCTTAACAATGGCGTTAAATAGTAATATTATTTATTATCTTTTCCTAATCGTTTCCTACTCCGAATGGGAAACGGCCAACGCGGGTCGCGGCCTATAATTGACCCACGACGCCCCATCCACAGTTTTCAAAATTTTTATTTGGATTTTTCATTTTCCACTTTTCCTTTTTTTATTTTTCGCCTGTAAATCACAGTTAAATTTGTTGGGAACCTTCTCGTCAAGCTCATCTACTGCGCCATACTCGTTTTCACATCTCCCTTTCTTAGTCCGCCGTCGCCTCCTTGTGCGTGATTGCAGAGGATTTGGAGTTGGGATTTTGCCCCTTTTTTTGTTTTTTCTTCTGATTGGGGCGGGTTTGGGGGTTTTTTTTTGGTCTGTTTACAAGGGCAGCGAAGCTTTGAGATGATGATGGTGGAGGCGAGCGACGGAGCAGCGGTGGCGCTGGACGGGTCGTCCTCTGCGCCGGTAGATTACAACGACGTGCTCTTGAATCTTGATGATATATGGAGGCTCATCGAGGAGTCTCCTGATTCACAGCAGGTTTGTTGTCGTGCTGAACAAAGCATTTCGCTTTTTTTTGGGGGAATTCTCTGTGTCGGTCTGGAATTGGTAGCTTAAGGGTTTATGGGTTGGGTTTGACGAGTGATGGGAGGATGGTATCTGATGTCTCTTTGTGGCTAATTGATAGCTAGTGAATAGGTTTAATTGATTGGATCTGAAATCTACTGAATTGCTGCATCACATAAATTCAAGGGTTTAGCTTGGGTGGCTTAAAGTTGCGTGCATAGACATTGATCTGGTAGATAGGGCATTAGAGTGTTGTTCTGGCATGGATATTGGGAGCAATTTGGTTGTATAGGAATGTTATCAGTTGCGAGGTCATGAAATAAATTTGGAAATTAGATGGATGAATATAGTGACCTGAGTTGTGGAATATTTGCAAATTGAGGAGTATGTTGTATAAAATTGTCCCATCAGTAGGAATCAAATGCAAATCGATGGCAGAACTAGGCGTAAAATCGACAAGAGCTATTGCTAGTCAGTTTACTATGTAGTCCATCCATATTTCTTCCTCGAATTGTTGGTTTTTGCTCTTCTCTGTTAATTTACTTGTGGACATGCACATAATGTATCTGGAATATATCACAAGTGATGTAAAATTGCCATTTGTTGATTTCATTTATTCATTGTCAATTTGCAGGGTGGTAGGTCGGAAGATTTACCAATTATTGACTCCATACAAGGTTGGTAAGCATTTTGTGGTTTGCATGTGTTTTGTTTCCCCTTTTCGGGTGATCTTCATCCTGTTGTGAGCACTGTTCCCTTAAATTGTTATGAAAAGATGCCACCTGTTCTTTATCCTATGTCTTAGTTAATTTATCAATTGGTATTTGAATAGGAGAGCTGACTTCAGCTGTTCAATTCCCAGAAGATGATTCACCCGGATTTGGTGAACACCAGCACATGCCACACAGTTACGAAGATTTGGGATATTGGAAGAAATATTCAGAAAGTGAACAACATCAATCTTCACCCAATACTAAAGGCAATGGCCCTTACTATGCAGGTGCAGATGATAGTTTACAGAATGCTTCGTCTTCTTGCCAAATTGACAGGGAGGAAGCTCCAATTGAGACATTCAGCGATATTGAACCATTTACATTTGGCAGCATGCATGACAGAGAGTCATTATACCTAAATGCTCCTGAGAAAGATCTATTTGACACATCCAGCTATGGTGAACCTTCTACTTTTCATAGTACTAACGGTGCTCTTCATAAGCGGGACTCTATGGATTTCGGTCGAGTTAACCATGAAGGAGATGTATTTGGATCAGCCTTATATAGTGGCACGGGTGTATCTAGGAACTACCGCAACAACATTGGTATTAGACCTACTGATGTACTCAGTGATCTAATTGGTGGGAGTGGGACATATAATGCGCGTCCAGGTCAGCTGTATTCCATCGATGGTATAGGGATGATGCGAGGCAGTTCTTCTTCTATGATTCCTCGTAATAATAATGTTTCCCAGGCAAAGGGTGAAATAGAAGAGAAAGATTCTGATACAAGAACTTTTATTTCTCCTGGCAGGTCAGGTGAAATCCCACTGGAAATTTGTGATTTAGCGGGTCATGATTGGTTTTCTGTTTCTGAGAATCATCAAGTACGGCCACCTTCGGTTAAGATGGAAAGAAACTCCCTGAAGATGGAAAATGATATGATAAATCCTGTCTTCTTTTGTCATGATTGGCCTGATGTTGATCAGATTTCAGAGAATCTCGGCGGGTTTTCACCCTCTTCATTTGAGATGGAAGCAAGTTCTGTAAAGATGGAAAATGAGTTGCCGAATTCTGCCTTTGTCGGTCATGATTTGAGTTCTCCTGTTCATCATTTTTTGGAGAATCCGGGCATACTGCCAACCCCTTTAGTTAAGGTGGAAATGAATTCTGTGAAGGTAGAAAACAAGATGCCAAGGACCTATCAAGGGGTTCGGAATAACACGGTTGCCCAAAATGTTGATGATGATTGTGATGTGTGTATCCTTGAAGATATGAGTGCCCCAGCCCGACCAAAGCGTGCGGCAATGAATGCAAAGCGTGCTGCAATGAATGCAAAGCTTGCTGCAGCTTCACAACTTTTGACATCGAGAAACCATGGTGCCCAGATGGCAACAGCACATTCGAGGATCAAATCTAATGATGAACGGGCAATTTTTCGAGTTGCACTGCAAGTAAATTCTTTAATCCCATTTAATGAGTTCTGTTTTGTCTTCAGAAAAGAATTGTCGGTCATGCCTTTTGCTATGTAAATGTTTGCTGCAGTGAGAATGATCACTTTTAATCTTGTCTGTGAGCAGTATCATTCTATTTTGATATTTGGAAGTTATATATGTGTGTTGAATCTATTTCAGGATCTTACACAGCCAAAATCAGAAGCTACTCCACCGGACGGTCTTTTGTCTGTGCCTCTGCTGAAACACCAGGTATAGTTTCGTGCACTTGGTTCTGGGAGGAAGATAAATGCTGACTTTTTCCTTTCTGCCCCTCCCCTTCCTTTTTAGGTATCTTCGTTAAGGGAAAGAAAAAAATGGAGAAATGGGGTTGTTCGTGATCCCTAAACTTATAGTATCCACTTTTGCTTCCGTCACTGATGTCTTTCCATCGTCTTAAAATTTCATATCATTTTAGTTTATGGTTTTACTCTGTATTTTCAACCTGTCTTAGTTTTTCTTTGGAACTGTCAAGATCTTCCAAAGCTAGTGTAAATCTGTTTTGTGGATGATTGAGTGATGAGTAAAGCTTATTTCCTTTTTAATTCTTGAAGCTCTGTGGAATTATTGATCACAATTTAGTGTATGACCCTTAGTTGACAGATCAATCTGAAATGTTTACCCTAACAGATTGAAGGACGTGCAGAAGTATCTCTGATAGGAAAACATTTAGTTTAAACTCAGTTTTGAAATACTTCTGTCAAGAGAAACTTTTGTTTGAATGGTGGTTTCTTGTTCTGGATCCAGAATTACTTATTTTGGTTTGGTTCTATTTGTTATGGAATTACTTGATCGGTTTACATGGGATAAGTTAGTCATTTTGGTGTATACTTTGGTTCAGCTTGTAGACTTGTACCCATATCGTCTTGCATACATGTGCATGACCTTTAACAATTAGTTTAGAATCTTTCTTGCTACGACTCATGTTATCTCTGTAGTACAGTGCTTAATTGATTCTAGCGTGACAAGTGCGTTTTTCTTTTGTTTATATCATTGTAATAATTGAGTTGGTGGTTCCCTTATGGTACATTGCTTCTCCTAATACGAGGTAAGTTTCTTGGCAGCGAATTGCTTTATCCTGGATGGTTAACAAGGAGACAAAAAGTGCTTGCTGTTCTGGTGGAATTCTCGCGGATGATCAGGTTATTTTCGGGTTTATGCTTATCCTTTTAAGAATATTTGTTTATTACCCGACTAACCATGTTCACATTTTACCTTGCGCAGGGACTTGGGAAGACAGTATCTACAATTGCACTTATACTGAAGGAAAGGCCGGCATCATCTAAAGGTTCAATGTCTAATGAAAAACAAAGTGAGACAGAGACATTAAATTTGGATGATGATGATGATGATGATGATAATAGTGTGTCTGAGGCCAAACCTCAACAAGTAAGTGGATGCCCGATCAATGGTGGCAATAATTCTCTGCTGGCAAGGGGCAGGCCTTCTGGTGGGACCCTCATTGTGTGTCCGACAAGTGTCCTCCGGCAATGGTCTGAGGAGTTGCACAATAAAGTAACAAGGGAGGCCGATCTTTCTGTTCTAGTATACTACGGAAGCAACCGGACAAAGGATCACCTCGAGCTGGCAAAATATGATGTGGTTGTTACAACATATGCGATTGTGAGCATGGAGGTGCCTAAACAGCCTGTTGCCGGTGAAAGTGAGAATCCAATGGATTTTCCACTCAAAGAACTTTCATCTTCTGGAAAAAAGAAATCATCTGAATATTCCTGTAAGAGCAAGAAGAGGAAAGGAAATGACGGTGAAATACTTGACGGTGAAATACTTGAAAAGGCATATGGTCCTCTTGCCCAGGTTGGATGGTTTAGGGTTGTACTGGACGAGGCCCAAAGTATCAAAAACCACCGCACTCAAGTGGCTCGGGCTTGCTGGGGTCTCCGTGCTAAACGCAGGTGGTGCTTGTCCGGGACACCCATTCAAAATGCAATAGACGATCTTTATAGCTACTTCAGATTTCTCAGGCACGAACCGTATGCTGTCTTTAGGACTTTCTGTGAGCAGCTAAAGGTTCCAATTCATAGGAATCCACGGAATGGTTACAAAAAATTACAAGCGGTGCTTAAGACTATCATGCTACGTCGAACAAAAGGTAAAATTCGACCAGTTTCCAGGTGTTTTACCGCAGACCAGCCTGATTTGAACGCATTTTAATAACAAGTAAATTGGCTTGTCAAATCCATCAATAAACTACATGTTGTGGTTTCTTTTCTGTTTGTTCTTCTGTTTATGGAAAACTAATTTTTAATCTTGGACCAAAAACTTGATGTTCCCATTAACAGCATAAACTGGATGCGCATACAAGCAGAGCTGAATGTTAATTTCTTATCTTATTTTGATATCCAGGTACTTTTATTGATGGTGAACCAATTATTAATCTCCCACCGAAAACTATAGAGTTAAAGAAAATTGATTTTTCCAAGGAAGAGCGCGATTTCTACTGCAGACTGGAAGCTGAGTCACGTGCTCAATTTGCTGTATGTTAACTATATTCCTAATCCCTTGATGTATGCAAGGTATATGGTGACTTCCAAGCCCTGAAGTTCTGTTTATGGTTGTTTCATTTGGCAGGAATATGCTGCAGCAGGAACTGTCAAACAGAATTATGTCAACATATTACTAATGCTCCTACGACTACGCCAAGCTTGTGATCATCCTCTGCTTGTTAAGGGGTTCGGTTCGAGTTCTAAAATGACATCGTCCATTGAGATGGCAAAGAAGATTTCTAAGGAGAAACAGAATTTCCTCCTGAGTTGTTTGGAAGCTTCTTTGGCAATCTGTGGGATTTGCAATGTAAGTTTTGTTATATTCCAGGGAAATTACTTTTTGTTCACCCTCCTTTTGTCTGTTTATTTCCATCAATATTCTAAACCTTCTTAAACTCTTGGTCGTGTAGGATCCACCTGAGGATGCCGTTGTAACTCTCTGTGGACACGTGTTTTGCCACCAGTGCATATGTGAACATCTAATAGGCGATTCGACCCAGTGCCCATCCAAGAAATGCAAAACCCATCTGAGCATGGCGTGCGTTTTCTCCATGAACACGCTGCGTATTGCTCTCTCGGATCAGCCGAGTACAGAAGACACTGCCAGCTGTACCGATCATGAAGTTGCTGAAGTTTCCGAGCTTCAGTCATCCAGGTGCCCTCAAGATTCTTCCAAAATCAAGGCTGCCCTTGACCTCTTATTGTCTGTCTCTTCGCGGACGAACTTTGCAGCACAATCAGAGTCCTCGCAAGAGTCATGTGCTTCTGATCGTGACAATAATGTAAACTCGGACAATTCGGGTAAGGTTATGACAGAGAAAGCCATTGTGTTCTCACAGTGGACTGGGATGTTGGATTTGCTGGAAGCTTGTCTTAAGAGTACTTCCATCGAGTACCGTAGGCTTGATGGTACTATGCCTGTTGCTGCCAGGGACCGAGCCGTGAAAGATTTTAATTCTCTTCCCCAGGTTTTTGTTATAATTAATGATTTTTTACGTGCTTGCTTACATAAGAAGGCGTAGTACTAATTTTAAGACTTTTGGTAGGTTTCGGTCATGATCATGTCTCTAAAGGCTGCTAGCCTTGGCCTGAACATGGTGGCAGCTTGTAATGTCCTTCTCCTGGACCTCTGGTGGAACCCGACTACTGAAGATCAGGCTATAGATCGAGCACACCGTATAGGGCAGACACGCCCTGTTTCGGTTTTCCGGCTGACTGTGAAAGACACAGTGGAAGATCGCATTTTGGCCTTGCAGGTACCCGTTTTTGTTGAGTAACTTGTTGATTGAACTTTGAATATAAAGCAAAATTTTGGATAATGAAAAGCAAATGAATTTGTGATGATACCTGTTTTTGTTGAGTATCTTGTTGATTGAACTTTGAATATAAATCAAATTTTGGTTAATGAAAAACAAATGAGTTTGTGATGATAAATTTCCGGTTCTAGAAAAAACTTAATGTCTTGGTGTTAATTTTTCCCCCGACTATTGAAGATTTACTAAGTGCCATGTCTGCATTGCATGCTTCTTGACACTGATAAATATTGCTCTTTTTCAGCAAAGGAAGAGAAGGATGGTCGCTTCTGCCTTTGGGGAAGACGAGTCGCGCACCCGACAAACTAGGCTTACAGTTGACGATCTGAAGTATCTATTCAGGGTCGATTAAGGATAAATGCCTCTACCTTTTCTCTAACAAGATTCATTTGCCTGAATTCTTTCAAAATCTTCTTTATAGAATTAGTAACTGGAGCTTTTACGCGCTTTCCTCTGCCTGAAGCTTCAGATATATCTTTAGATTAGTAGCTTCAATGAAAGTTGCAAATTGGTTTGGTTTTGGAGAGAGTGGTTTTCTTCTAGACATAGCTGTATAAGATGATAGAAAAATCTCAGGGGGAGTGTTGGAAATTCTTTGGACATTTTATTGTACATATCAGCAGCTTCTCTGTTCTTTCTGTTGACACCTTTTTTCTTGGGTTCAAAATTAAGAAATATAGTCAATTTTTCTTCAGGGTCTTGTTAGCAAATATGTGAACCATATTTCAGAATTTGGAGATGTCTATTTTTGGGTGGATTTTGAATCGTCGGATCGAAACACACACCCACATTGGTGTGTGCGTGCGTGTGATCCAACGGCTTGGAACCCTGTGTGGGTAGTAGGGTCAAATTCTCCCTATTGTTTGCATGTAAAACAAACTAGTACTAATACCCATGTACAACATGGGTGTTGAGTAAATGAATATATGTGTAAAGTTATTTATGTCTAATGCCAAACCTAACTCCAAAGCAAAAAAATAATAATAAAACATCACGAAGCATAGATTTTTGCCATGTCAGCATCCGAAGCATGAGAATTCGCCACATAGGCTCAACACGTTTTGAATTAATATATAGAGAGGGATGGAGGAACTTCTTCATGCAATCGACAATTTGATTTTGATTTTTGAAAAGAAATCGACAAATTGATTCTGTTGTATAGTTTAACATGGAAAATATTATAATGTGACATGATTAACTTTTCTTTTTTAACTATCAATTAACAAATTAAATCTTTGCATGAATAAGAGCAATCAAAACTCAAGTAATCCTTAATGCAATTGGTATATTTTTCTTAATTTAAGCATAATTGTATTAGTGCAATTGGTATCATTTTCTTAATTAAGCAGAATTGTTGTTTGGATATGTGACTAGAGATATTTTGTTATATATTTAAATGAAGATCAATTACTATATCTAAATATAAACCCAGCCAAAATATTTATTAAGGGTGCCATTATTTGGATTAAAAACCAAATCAAATTCAAGTTCAGGCAAAAAAGAAACCTATATTTTACATCCCTGATTTTTTAATCAGACAATAATATGTAAGGAATATAAAGAACCTATGTAACCATGATATTTCTTAAACTTCTTGTTTTTTTAGGAAAAAAAAAAAGGATAAAAACCTTCTAAATCCTATCATTATGTAGTGGACTGAGTTGGTCCAAACAACACAACACATTATAGCTTCTACGGAAAGAGAAAAAAAAATGCAACGAGAAATCCTTGCAAACCTCTAACCTCTGTAGAAAAATTGTACCCAAAGCTCAACATAATGTTCTCAATAATTCTGCCCTTTTGGACCTCAAACCCTCTACTCTCCTTATTCGACATATGAACACCAAAACTCTTGCTCATAATCTGCCTGATTTCGCGACCATCCATTTTGAGTGGCTCGATCTTTTAGGCCCTTCAAACAGGCTCGCGATCTTACTCCAGTCGACCGGGGAAAACACCATGGGGGGCAATATCGTAAATCTGTGCCCGGGCCTTCCGGCCACTCTGAACACGACCCTCGACACCATGTAAGGCCCGTTGGGACCCCATTTATTCCCATCGAATGTTAGCGCGATTTCTTGAATGAATTTATACAGCAAAGGGTGGTCACGATCAAAGATCATCACGGCATTATTCAACCGGCTCCAAATTTTCATGCCCCGATCAAAAGTTCGAGCCCCAATCGCGTTTTTTCAAGCCAACGATGCTTTTCAAGACGATCACATCCGTGTCTAAATACATCCCACCTAATTTGTACAGCAAACCCAACCGGAGCAAGTGGGTTCTGCTGTGTTACTTTTCTGCTTTTTATACTATCGTTAAACAGGCCTCAAAACTAAATTCAACTGCATCGCATGTTCATTGGGCTTTTTAGCCGCTTGTAAACATGTACTTTGTTGATTAACAGGTCGTCATAGGTTAGTTTTACAGCCGAAATTGCAAAAAAATAGTGCTCCACAAACACATTACTACAAATTTCCTATTTCACCTTCTTCGCCTTCGAATTTAGTAATGAACAGGCCTTCTTAGTTTAGTTTTACAGGCGAAATTGCAAAAACATAGTGCTCCACAAACACATTGCTAGAAGTCTCCTATTTCCTTCCTGTTCACCGCCTTCATTACTTGTGACCTGAGTCGCATATAAAACATCTTATGTCAAAAGTTGGGGTACCAATACCAAATTTTTGCTATAAAAACTCACAAGCATTCAGCATCAACATAGTTCATGAATCCTAAATGGGACGGATTGGCAGAGATAGGAACTAAAATTCGAGAATTTGTTTCACAAAAATAAAGACCAAAACTAAAGAAACAAAAACTAGACTCTTCATGGAGTACAAACCTTAGTTCTTCCAACTGTTTCCCGATTTCCTGGTTACGCTTCCTGTCAATAATCGTAGACAATAATGAGTAATTAAAGCATAGTATTTTTGTTCACCAAACAGAACAAAATTAAATAAAAATGGATTTTGAGTACAAAATGGATTGCAATCATGAACATGTCACTGTAAACTATATGATGTAACATCAAAGGAAAACAATAACTTGTACTGAATTTTCACCCATTGTAAATTAACATCTTTCATTGTTTAGAACTTTGAATGAAGGATTTGGCGACACTCGATAGCATTTACTTTTAAAAGTGACATTCAGTAATATTTTGAGCAACACTACAGTACACATAACTCCAAAACCCAACACATGCTCATGAATTTTTTCTAGTAAGCTTACCCCCAGCACACCTTAACTTCTTTTGCATGCAGTCTGACAATTAATTTAGCAAAACTCAAAATAAATGAACAAGCTTTGAAAAGGATTACTAGGCATCAAAACATGATTCCTAATCCGATCATTAAATCCAACATAAATCACAAATGATCAATGTAGACCATAAATGATTTGAGACCGATGGAGACCACAAAATAAGAGCACTATATGTCATGTAGATTCAGTAATCAACCAAGCACTTGGAAAAACAATATCAGCTAAACATAAAGATTCTTAAGCCAAACCATTCATAGTCGATTTCAGAATCGAGCCCCTTCAGTTCTGCAGATACTTTCCTGCAACAAGAGATTATAAAGGACACCAATTAGGTGAACATTTAATTATTCACAAGAGATCAATATTAAAAAAAATCGATTAACCATTATCTTTAAACAAGTTTGATGCAAAAGGAGGCCAAAATGATCTAGAAGCGGTAGAATGCATTCTGCTAGCTGTATACACGTTTGGGAATTATTACTTGATTATATATATTGTCAAGATTCTTAAAGAGTAATACATTAACATGGTATAGCTTCGGTTGTCTATGTTGGGTACTTTGGGTATTTCAACTTATCGAGGTAGTTTGATTTTTTCGAATTAATTTTTCAGATACTGAAATGGTAATATTTACCAAAACTTTGTGGAGATAATCGAGTCTCATATATGGTTCAACTTCAAACCGTATGCAACGCGTATCAAAAGAATTAAGCATACATAACTTGGGTAAGCAATTAGAGAACTTACTGGTCACAATCATCAATGCTGTCATATCACAACCGGAGCCAGTGGGAGAGAGAGAGAGAGAGAGAGAGAGAGAGAGAGATAGGACACTTCACAGTCAGTTTACATCTTGTTTAAAAAGATAGCTACAACCTAAAACTAACTAAGGAATAGCAAGCAGATACTTACAACTTATGAACACCCCATAAGAAGACCAATCCCGATAAACTCTTAGTCATAGATTCTGTGGAAATCCCTGTTTCAGTTTCTCGAAATGCCCTATATACGTAAGAAATGGTCAGCTTATAGATAAAATTTTAGTACAACCAAGACACAGGAATAACAACACTATTACCTAAATTCAGACCAAAACTGACGTGAAGGAGTAAGGGAACTTAGCCACCTGATTTGTTATACACAACATAAGGATTAAATATCCACCACCACCAACATCAACAACAACAACGACGACGACACACAAAAGGAAAAAAAAAATAAAGTGTGCAACACTGGCAACAATAACAACATATATACCTGATGAACTTCGCCATAGCAAGCAATAATGGCCAAGAGATACCTGAAAACACAGGAAAATGTTGAAACCGAACGGGATTAAGCTGTAATAGCCTATTCTGAAATTTAATGACCGAATAAAACACATAAAAACGGACAAGAAAAACCTATCCATTTTAAACACAAGCAACAAATTTCTCGGGAAATACGTAATTTGAGATCAAACAAAAGTTTATAACATAAAAAATGCATAATTTGGTTTTGATTTGCGTCGGCGGCATCACACGACGTCCTCGGAGACGGCTATGGTGACACAGAGAGAGAGAGAGAGAGGGAGAGAGAGAGACCTCTTTGGGGGTAGAGGAGACGACTTTCGGGGCAAGTGAAGAACCCTAGAACGAGTGTAAATAAAGGTAAATTGCACCAAACCCTCCTGTATTATAGAAATTTTTGCGGGGATAGTTATCCCTCTGTATTTTAAAAATTACGCCATACCCCATTCTATTATACTTTTGATTGCGTGTTATCCTTTAAACCGTCTAACTCAATGGATGTGCATTTCACGCGCGTGTGATGCGACTTTTTCTCCATTTTTTCGCCATAAACTAAAGGAAATGACTATTTTGCCCCTTAATACCTGAATTAAATTGAACTCCTCTTTCGGCTGAGGGTTTTCGCCACAAAATCTCTATTTTTTCGTCGAGAGGAGCTCTTCCAATTTATTTTTCTTCAAATCGCAAGGCTGTGAGTGGATAACGCATCGCCGGAATTCAAATCGCTTTGAGGTAAGCTTTCGCAATCCAAACCTCATAAATCCAAACCTCAATTTTGTGCATTTTCGAATTTAGGGTT